GAATTCTGAATCACGCGGCGACAACTTCCTAATATCGTCCTCATTCGAGTTTGGAAGCCTTGATGCTGAATTTCTTTTTGATTGTCGGCAGTCCAAAGCTGATCGCAGGAAAAATCCTTACCAGTGATGTGCAGACTGGCAAGTAAGAGCGTCACGCCTGTCTTCAACCTGCGTTTCAATCTCACGCATAAGCGCGTCGTGCCATGCACGCTATCCCGCGCGAACTTATCAATCACGCACAAGAAGTGTCATCTCAGCCCGTTACCATGCTTCAAGGCATCAGAAACGGGAAAGGGGTTCTTGGGAAGGACTCGAAGACCTCGCCGAGCTTAAGCGATTGGCCGTAGCCGCAAAATCAGGTAAGTTTTTCGCTTTTTGAAAGGTACAGCCAGGTACTATTTTAGATTTTTACCATTTTTCTGTTTAATATTTCATCAAACTGAGGAAGGCTGAGTTTTCAGCCGAGATGTTTTGGTTTTATTTGTGAAATTCTAGCCTTGTTACAAGCTTTTTAAATTGTTTTTTTTTTGTGTAAAGCAGATAAGGTCATCGTTAGGTCGAGAATCGCGCGAAATGAGGCAAATCATCTTGAATATTGAATTGAATTGAGAAAATAAACGAGTGTTAGGGATCAGCAACGAACGAATTCAGTTGATAATGCTTTAAATTTACGAGTATCTGTAATCTGGGTATCCATCGTATCCATATGGATATCCCCCCCCTCAATATGACCACGGCCCCGTCAGCCGCCCCGGTAGCCTTCCCGCCAGCCGCCCCGCAAGCGGCGCCGCCAACCCGGGAGAATGCGACGATGGTATGAATGATTTATATGGACGGTGAAAATCGGTAATCACATAACTCGTTTGCGGTGTTTAAAAATCTCCGCACCCATGTTATTTTTTTAAAGAAAAATAAATTGACACCATTCCTTGAAGTTTTTGCAGAATTTTCTTTGCACAGAACAGAAAAATCACGGCAGTTTTAAAGAATTGCGATGGAGTAGTTTCCCGTTTATGAAATTAAGTATGACAGGAAGTCTGCGACGTCACAAACGGAGTTATGTGATTGCCGACTTAGACCGTCGATATGTATTCTTGAAAAAATATTTTTTTCCTCTGAATGGTGGCATTATAATAATGTTTGTACGCATGGCCTGTGTTGAGATGAGACAAATTTTGTGCAGATTAAGGTGGTCAAAGTCTGTGTTGCGCGAGATTGATTTAGAATTTTTCAGGAAACATCCAAATCAATGGGTAATTCCCTGGCAACTAATTGTGGTAGATTAATATGCATGGCCTGTGTTGAGATGAGAAAAATTTTGTGCTGATTAAGGTGGTGAAAGTCTGTGTTAGGCGACATTAATTTAGAATTTTTCAGGAAACATTTAAATGGATAGGCAACTATTTGTGGTAGAATAATAATATTATAATTGCTTTTTATTAATTTTTTAATGTGTTTGTTTTTTCTTTATTTTCAGAATGAGAAACTGTTCAAAGAATTTTTGGAGTATAGAGAAAAGTACAGCAACAAGGAAGTAATGGTAAGAGTTTTGACTGAAAAAATGAAGAACCCTATTCATAGGAAAGCAACTTCAGGGTTGAATAACTAAATAAAAGGAACTAAATCGAATTTCGGGTTATGATATCTAGGTATTATATACTATGTTGCTCAAGTGAACAAAACAACACAGACATTCCATGTATGCTCGTCCGTTGCTGGGTGCCACACACGGGAGGGATGAGGCGCCCAAAAGTGAGGCTCTGCTGCGCGCGCACGTCGCATGTTTGGATTGTAATTTCGCGGCAGATTCGAACTCAAGGGGCGAGTTCCATAATACATTCTTCTCAAATGCACAGTATTAAAGTAAAAAAAGTCCAGAGTTTTAATCACGATTACTTTAATTAAATTTAACCTCTCGTAAATCCATAC